GGACAGGAAGGCCTGGTGCAATATGGTTCATGGGGTCACGAAGAGTTGGACACGACTTAACTACTAAACAACAACAACAACAATGTTGTTATAATCATTCAAGGCAGCCTTCACTCCTGATGACATGCAGTTTTCTTGGCAGCATTTTGAAGTGGCTTCTCAGTACCTTTTTCCTCCAGAACTCAGGTCTCCTCACTCCTAGTGCAGCAGCTTTAACTATTACACCAAACTGGTTCTCTTTGTAACTATATCACTACTTATTTATATAGTGCAATTGATGTATATAAAGCTTTTTTAAAAAATAGAATAAGGATACTGTTTCAAGGGTCTTTTGGCCTAAAAATAACATATTCTACATTAGACAAGAACTCATATCCTGCTTATGGGCTTCCCATATGTATCTGGTTAGCCCCTATAGGATCAGAATGCTGAATCAAACACATGTTTGGCCTGTTCCAGCAGAGCACAGAGCAAGGGTAAGAAATGGAGGCAAAACTAAGGTACAATTCAGTATTATATCAGTTACATGAACTTAATTTTAAAATTTCAGTACAACACTGAGTCTCAGTGGCTTTTCTAGTCTTTATGGAAATGTGAACAATATGGAATATACATATCAATTGCTTTTTGAAAAGCTATTCATTCTGGAGTTCTATAAACTGCCCAGATTAACTATGTTTCAAGGCATCATATAAACATCAAGGGAAAGCTGAACATTATGCTAATTGGCATAATATTTGGCATAAATTCCTCTGGCATGAAGACAGAATAGATGAACAACATGAGACATACAGAGACTCTGGTGATATCCAATTCAGAGTCTACAAGAAAGGAGAAATATAGTTGACATCTCAGTATATTGATGACAACTCACTTCGAACTGTGAATGATATTTCCAGCAGCTTTCATGTTAGTACTGATTAATATAGAAGACAAAGTTGAGCTTTGTGAGGCCCCCCAGACCCATTCCCAAGGAAAAGCCTCTCAATATTACTTTTTATTTTACCCAGAAAGGCTGACGTGAAACTACCAGATGGCACTTCCAACCCCCAGCTATCATAAGCACTCCAACAAGTTACTGTGGTCAACAATATCAACATTCACAGAAAGATACAACAAAGTCACATTCCCCCTCTCTTTTTCCCAGTACAGAATATCCAAAAGAGCGATCAGGACCATCTCCACATGTAAACCCAGGGAGGAAAGGATCAAGAAAAATTGTTTCATCAAAAGCTCCTGGAGCTGCAATGCCACTGACTTCTCCTCCAGTTTGTCTTAATATAGAATATCAGATAATGTTGAAGCTTATTAAAATAGATTAAGTCCAATTATGGCTTTTAAGCAATAGCCTCACTCCTTTTGCCTGTAAAGTTACAGACAATTCAGCATGTAAAAGAAGTATTACTGATCTGAGGGATCACTGGCAAGTCAGAACTGTTTGAGGCTGAGGAACATTCCACCAGGCAAGTAGTAATGCTAACAGAATCAAAACCTGTATCCACTTGCTCAGAAAATCAGCAATGAAACTAATTCAGACAGATATTAAGAGATAGTGAGATAGACACCTTTGGTACAGCTCCACCCTAAGTAACATCAAGCCTAGCACAAATCTGAGCAACTGTTGCTGCAAAGAATTATACAAACTGCTCAGGTGAATTCAGGGCACAAGCTAGAACAACTGGAAATTTGGTCATCTACCCACAAAGTCTAGGAATCTCCCATGGAATTTAATATTCCAGGACTAAACACAGAGTTTTGGAGATATGCTGAGTAAAGAATTAATTTTTTAAATTTCTTCTTGATAAGTAGTTATTTAACTGCTTTGTTTCATATCTGAAGACCATGACTGTTGGAGCTACTTAATACTTACTTGAGTACTTGTGCAACTGTATTTGGTCCATACCACTGGCCTATGGATTTGCCTTCTCCAACTCCCATCTGGGCTGCAACAAACACATCATAATTGTGCCATAGTATCATTCAAGGCTACTTCTGAATCACTACAGATACTTAATTGAGCAAGTATTTAGATTTCTTAAGAGTACTGAACTAAAGTCCTATTAAAAATATGAAACAGTTCAAATAACCACACACCTAACCAGCAGAGACATATATTAATGAACACTGAAATGTACTAATCTTTTTTGGAAGGTCACACATAAAAATTCATCAGGGAAAATTCTTCTATTTTGTCAGGAATAAGGGGTCCCCTTAGGCTTCAAGACAAGAACAAAGAATTCCAGGCATATTAATCTATTGCCATATTTTGCTGCTATAAAACCATTATGCCCATGTAGGACAAGGACAAGCAACTGTTTTCAGTTGGGGACATTTCAAAAACTGATCTCTGAGGCTGCAAGCATGATGTCTTGCAATGTGGTGACCTTTCGTCGGGTGAACATGGCTGAAAACTGTTGGCCTTTTTCATTTGTTAAGATATGGAAGAAGTTTAATGGTTGGAAATATATAGCTGAAGCCTTGCAAAGATGTAACACATCTATTTCCAACCTTTAAGAAGCAAAAATTAAGCAGCAGTAGTACTTTGTTTTGCCATTTCTGGTGCAGTCTGGGGCTATACTGTGAGATTATGGGTTTTAATGTGAATGGTTCACCCTGGTGCAGGGCAACAGCTCATTCTGAGAGATGCCAAGAACAGATTCCCACTGAACAGATTCCCACTGAACAGAAATGCAACCTCTGTATTTAGCATCCAAACACACAGTATGTTTTTCAGCATTCACCATTAATTCCTTAAAGATAAAATGCCAACTTTTCTCATTATAGATCCTTAAGTCCTTTAGTCAGTTATATTTCTTTGCGATTCCTAGTGAAGTTGAGAAAGCTGCATCAGATAAAAACATATCTAAAACTTATCTCTCACGAAATAGATTAAAAAAAAAAAAGGTTTTCACAGCAAGACATCATTTTTCCATAGAGAGAAAAAAGAGACAAAAAGGAGACAAAAAAAGCCTTACATAATAGAAGTCAGTTTAGCAAAAATATTAAATAACAATTTTGAAACAATTGCCAGTTTAAAAAGGACCTTAACCAAAATGCCTGCTGAACCTTTTTCAAAGAAAAGTTTCCTATCTAGAACTAAGCATCAAAGTAAAGGGAAGGAGGGAGGGAAAGAAGGAGGTTGCATGTCCTGAGGACCTAAGAGAAAGGGGAAAGATGTAACAGTTCTGAATAAAGATGGTCTGATATTGTATGGGGGAAATGATAATACAGTACATGCAGGGAAGTGAAGGCGAAGATTTAGCTATGCATGGACAGAAAGAATGAATTGGTGGCTTCTGGGTTGTTGTAGGTGCATATGAAAGTATTTATTCATTATTTCTTTATTAAACAAACTTATATGGCCACCCATCTACCAGAAGGAACTGTGGTAGCAAACAAAAATAAAAACACAATACCATGAAAGCAAAAAATACATTTAAAACAAAAAATAAAAGCCCCAATAAAAATCACATCAATTAATCAATCATGCCATGCCAGCTCAATCAACATCCTGGCCCCAATGCCTGGGGGAAAAGGCACATTCTCACTGCTTTCCTGAACGCCAACAGAGTTGGGGTCATCTATATCTCTGGGGGGAAGCTGACCCATAAGATAAGTGCCATGACAGAGAAGGTACATTTTCAAGGCTCCATCAGGTGACATTATTTCACCAAGGGAACCTGGAGCATGCCCACCCTACCAGATCTAATGGGATGGGCAGAAAACATCAGGGATAGATAGTCCCACAAGTAACCTGGCCCCGTGCAATGTAGGGATTTAAAGTTAACACCCAGCACCTTGAATTGCACTCAGAAGCCTGCTGGAAGCCAGTGCAGCTCACACAGCAGTGGCATTATGTGGGTGTACCACAGTAGACCCACCACTACCTCTGCTGCTGCACTCTGGACCAGCTGCAGCTTTCAAATCCATAGGTTAGTGACAGTTGCATGTTTCATTCCAGTGAATGGTGACAATGGAAGAAGTAGGGATGAGTTTTATGAAAAATAAATAAAATTATTTTGTTCGGTAACATGAATGGATGGGTGAGTCAGGATCTACGCAAGCTAGAAACCTTAGTTGTTATTAATTTAGTTTAGCAATGCATAGTAAATGGTTAAATGGTAAAAATGTTAATTGCAGGCCACTTGCTTGTTCCTGCCATTGAAGTTAGGAGAAGCGGGGGAAGAAGATACCAAGCCAGGTGCTACTGTTATCTCTACAGAGGCGCCAACAAGGTCAAGTAACTGCGAGAGCCAGAGCAAGGCGCGAAGAATTTCAAGCGGGAAAAGAAAGGAGAAGGGGGGGAATTTGGGCTTAAAAGGGGAAGGCTTTGCTTTGTAGAATTAGACTCAGCAAACTATAGCTGCTGTGCATTTCTCCCAATAAAGAAATCTTTGATGGAACTGTTTAGACTCCAGAGGATTTACTGAACTTTGGGAATGAGTGTGCAGACTCTGACAGGGTGGGAATAAAACCAGATAGAAAGGAATAGGCAACTGGGCCATTTGGAGACCAAAGAAAGAATGAGAATGGTAGCTGTTTAGTCAGTATCTGCTTAGAAAAAAAGTCTGTTTCAAATAGATGGTTTAAGCATAAGGCTATTAATGCATGACTGATTGGATTGTTTACAGTGAAAGATTTAGATAATGAGTGAAAGATAGAATGGCGATAAGAGATTCTGTATATGAGGCAGACCATTTTTTATAGTGTCAAGAGGGAATCTTGGAGGACAATGGTCAAGAAATAAAAGAAAAGCAGTGAAAAAAAAACTAATGTAACAAGACTGCAAGAAAAGAAAGTACCAGTCTTATGCAAAAGTATTACAATTTAATCTCCCAACAGAATGAATGGAAAATGGTTGTATAAATCATGTGGTCTCTTGAGAGACATGAAAGTTTGTTGAAAGAAGCAAAAATGGCTATGTATAAGAGTGTGTTCATTCCCACTTTGTTATATGGAAGTGATTGTTGGGTATGTCTACAAAACGATAAATGTAAGATGAATGCAGAGGGATTGGGATGTTTAAGAAGTACAGGAAGTCCTCATTTAACAACCATTCATTTAATGACCATTTGACGTTACGACAGTCTCAGAAAAAAGTGCTTCACGACTTGTACTTGCACTTATAACTGTCACACCACTCCCCACAGTCATGTGATCGCGATTTGTGATCTTTTTATGAGGGTCATTAAGCGAATCACATGGCCGTTAAGCGAATTCCGGCAAAAAATGCCCATGGGGGAAGCTGGACTCGCTTAACGACCATGTGATTCGCTTAACAACCACGTAATTTGCTTAATGGCCATTGCAAAAATGGTCATAAATTGGGTCCGGTCATGTGATAACTCGCTTAATGACCAATTTTCTGGTCCCTATTGTGGTCATTAAGCAAGGTCTTAATGTACATGTGGTAAACAAGAAGAGATAGGGTCAAGAATGAATGAATGCTGAATGAATATGGATTGAACACATAGTGAGCACTACGAAAGAAATATAGTAAGATAGTTTGGTCATGTAGAGAGAATGACTGACAGTCTAAATTATAAAACAAATTTATAAAGAAAGAGTAAATGTATTGAAAGAAAGAGGAAGTAGTTGCATGGAGCTAATAGGATTCCCACAAAGAGGTGAGAACTTTAAAGAATAAAAGTCATGAAGCAATGTTTGGATGTGGTGGAAGGCAAGGGTAGCATAACAGTTGTTTCTCAGACTGATAAAGATTCAAGCAACTGTTATGTAAAGTTCAACAACTGTTATGTAAACTCTGTAACCAGCTGCAGAGTTCCCAGTTAACAGTGATGAGAACTGCCACCCTCTGATACATCATAAGACTGTGAGAAAGAGATGCAGAAAATCTCTGTCTTAATATACACTGAGATATATTCATTCTAAACTGAAAACTAGTTCACGTGCAGCAATTCTTGTACTATTTTATCTTAATAAATTTTGTTAAAGAGACCTCTGAATTTGTGCTTGGGGAAGAAGTAGTTTCAGCTGCCATAAGCATAACAGAAGTTTTGTAAGGACAGAAGGGTATGGAGAGGTATAGTGAAGTGTATTGGTATAAAACAGACATTATATTTCCTTTCCTTAGCTCATGCCTCTAATTTCTTTGGTTTACTATTTCTGACTCCCTTATTTCACTTTGCATAACTTGCTTATCCTGAAAGGGACTAAAGTAGGGTGCATGCATGTATGGATTACATTGCTTATAGCTGAAGGCAAACTGAAGTGTTAGCTTATTACATATTATATTCCACAGAACAAAATTTCTTTAGGATAGATTTCTTCTCTGACACAAAATGTAGAAAATCCATTAAAGAATAAAAGTAGCCCTATGCATTGTTTGTATAGGTTATAAGGGAAAAATATAGCCACACTCATACCTGAGGGCAAGGCTCTATTAAGCTCAATGGAGTTTATTTTTAATATGTACAGGGGCTGGCTTTTACAGAATTAAGTTTTATTCTGAAATGGCCTGTCCCTTGATAACCTAGTTCTAAAACAGAGGAAACTGAAAGGCTGGATCTATTTTCTACATTACCATTTCCCTAAGTCAATTTCCAATAATAAGATAGGCCCTAATTTAAATCATGTTTACAAATGAACATATTCTTATCTAAAAACCATGTATTTTAAATAGGCTCCCTTGAGTATTATGCTCAGAACCTTTCTACTGCTATTAAAGAGGAAGGTATAGATTGAAGCACTTGATTGCCCATAGTGCTGGTAATCATCTTACCTATTTGGTGGATTGAATAGTAACTGTCTTTTTTATCAATGAAAGCATTCCAAACATTGTAATAGTTGTCTGTCTGTTTCTTCCCTTTCATCCACCTCCAATCTGAGAAACAAAAGGTAATGTTAAAAAAGAAGTTCCAAATGCCACCCTTACATTTTCAAGGTATTCATAGCACCAGATTATATAAGATTACCAGCTTTCTTTACGTGAATTCTTTCTAAATGCAAAAAGTTGATGAATATAGTCTCAACTACTTGAAGAGATAACTTCAAATATAATCTGCATAGTGAATGATAGTTGAACATTTTTTTCTGCTTCCATTTTTATTATATCTCACTATCAACACCAACAATATTTAATTTTTTTGGAAAAAGTTCATGTTCAAAATATACTTTACACTGCAAGAAGCAAGTAAACTGATCCATCATCAATCATATTGATTTCCATGGCCCAGTTAATCAGGACAAGAATTAGACATTTTGAAGGAAGGGATGCTACCAAGGGGAACTGGAATATACTGTATGTAAATAGGCCTGCTTTGTTATGTAGTTCTTTACAGTGAAAAACATCTTTATGAAGGCCCTTATATTACTTGAATACACACAGTATCATGTTTTTGCATTATAATCATCACAGGAATATGACTTACCTCTACCTAAGTGCCTGCCAACCAAGGCTTGGGCAAAAATCATCTGGCCACATCTTAGCATGCAACCCCAACCAGTGTCAGATGTCGGACCCGTTCCCCCTGCAGCCATAAAGAGATCACACAAAACAACCTTTTTGACAAGTAATCACTAATAATTTGAAGTATTTAGAGTTTTGTGATATACCTGAACAGGACTAGGAGGGCCAAAAGTCAAAATATGGTTGCAAATATAAACATGCTGATCTGAGATTATGTCCCTCTGAATATAATGGAACATGCATCCGCATATACAGTGTCATACCCTACTGTGTCTGGCTAATACTTTGCTTTCTTCTCTAGTGCTATGGTACAGTCTACTCTGCAGCTTAGTAAATTAGAGAGAAAAATGAATGAAAGGAGAACATAAATATAAATACACATTTTAGAAAAATGGTTATCAGATGTAAATTCGTATGTATATGATTATGTCAGAATCCTTGCAATCAATCACTTGTACTGCCAGCTTGCTTGCTTCGTTTCTGCCATTACAGTGAAGGGGAGGAAGGGAGGGAAGGTTGGAAGGTTAACCGTAA